TCCAGACCACGCCGCTCTCCGGCCAGACCTTTGCCACTCAAGCCATCTCCCAAGACACCCTGCAGAACCTGCAGCTCCAGGCTGTCCCCAACTCGGGGCCCATCATCATCCGAACCCCTACAGTGGGCCCCAACGGGCAGGTGAGCTGGCAGACCATCCAGCTCCAAAACCTGCAGGTCCAGAACCCCCAGGCCCAGACAATCACCCTGGCCCCCATGCAGGGAGTGTCGCTGGGGCAGACGGGCAGCACCAGCACCACGCTCACCCCCATCGCCTCCCTCCCCAGCGGCACCGTCACCGTCAACGCTGCCCAGCTCTCCTCCGTGCCCGGCCTCCAGACTATTAACCTCAGTGCCTTGGGAGCGTCTGGGATCCAGGTCCACCAGCTCCAGGGGCTGCCTCTGGCCATTGCCAACGCTGCTGGTAAGTTTGGGATGGGGCTTTCGCTCTTGGTTCCTTTTCCATCGCTGGGCAGAGGAAATGGGAGGTGGAACCATGTCACCTGGTTGGGTTCTGCGGGGTTCAGGGTGCTGCTGGCGCGTGGTGGTGCCAAACGGAGCTGGCAGACAGGATGGTGCTGGTCTGGGAAGGGAGTGTGGAGCCTTTGCCGAGCTGCTGGAGCTCACTTTGGAGTGTGTTTAGGTCTTGGAGGGGCTGGTGCATGAGGAGAAGCGTGTGTGGCTGCGGACACAGGGCTCTTCTGCCCCAGTGACCATCAGAGGGGTCTCAGGTTGGGGTTTGGGGGTGGACCTGGGTCCTGCAGCTCCTCAGCTGCAGGAGCTTATGGAAGGAGTCCCCGCCTGAGAACGCTCGGGAATAACTGAAATACCCTGGAAAACAGGAGGTGTTGAGGAATTGCCTGGCAGGGCCAGAGAAAAAGGCTCCTCAAGTGTGCATTGAGCTTAAAGCTGGGGGCTGGTATGATTGTGGCCGTGCTTTGCACAGGACACCCTGCTCCATTCCCTATGGATCCGTCCCAGAGGTTTCCCACAAACCCATAAAGGGTGTGTGGATGTGGGGTGTGAGCTTGAGGCTGCTCCAT